CCATGAGAGGAAATAGAGTCAGCAGTGGAGTTAACTGAGTTTATAGGAGTAAAGGATGAAGTAGGACTAACACGGTGAAGAGGAAGAGGGGCTGATAAGAGTTTATAGGAGTAAAGGATATAGTAGGACTAACATGGTGAAGAGGAAGATGGGCCGATAAAACTGGTGGCATAAACCAGGAGGAGGTAGTGTGAGAGGAAGATTGAGGGACAATTTGAAGAAGATGGAAACAGTGAGGAATGAGGAAATCTGGATTAATGAAAAAGAACATCCTTAGAGATGTATACATGACCATTAGAAGCAAGGCATTTATACCCTTTATGGGCAGTGGAGTACCCTAGAAAGATGCATTCTTGAGACCTATAGTCAAGTTTATGAGAATTATAGGGACGAAGAAAGGGAAAGCAAGTACAACCAAACACTATAAGACATGTATAATCTGGTGTTTTATTTAGCAGTTTGGAATAAGGAGAGTGGTTGTGAAGAGTAAGGTTATGAAGTCTATTAATGAGATAGGCAGTTGTAACAAAGGCATGATCCCAAAATTTTAAGGACAGTGTGGACTGTGCAAGTAAGGCTAAACTAGTTTCCACAATGTGACGATGTTTGCGTTCAACTATACCATTTTAATGATGGGTATGTGGACACATAAACCTATGAATGATTCCTAACTCAATGAGATACTTAGTAAAAGGCCTGAACTCACTCCCTCCATCACTCTGCACACTTTTAATTTTACAATTAAACTGAAGTTCAACCATGTTTTGAACTGAATGAACTGGGTGAGAGTGTCAGATTTTAGCCTAAAAAGAAAGACCTAAACAAACCTAGAATATGCATCAACAAAGGTTAAGAAATAGGAGTAACCACCTGAGGATTGTAAAGGAGTTGGACCCCATAGATCACGTACAACCGGTTCAAAGGGATGATTATACACAGTGGTGGATAAGGAGGAGGGAAGCCTGTGAGACTTTCCTAAACAACAGACAGCACACAGTTCATCTGGTGGTATTGGAGGGATAGGTATGTGACAGAGTTTTAGCACTTCTGCGAGAGCATGATGGTGAGGGTGTCCTCAGGGACGGATGTAGGTGTTAGTAATTGGGGGCACTTTCCCCCACTTACTTATGCATTTGATTAATAGTTATTAATAATTTCATTTTTATTCCTATTGTAAAATAAGTATTGACCCATACAAAAATATTGAAAAATCTACTAAACTATTAAATTTCTTATTTTGTCCCCATTAAAATATACTAGTTTTTAAATTGCTACAAAATTATTCTACTTACAATTTTAGTATTTAATATTATAAGTCAATATATATTTTGTTGAATTTGTTTGCAGACGGATGTTTAGAATTTTATAAAAATTCAATAATAAAAAATTAGTTTTCTAAGTACATATATTTATATTTGTCTTTGAGGTTTTGGCGTTTATATATTGAATTTAATGGACATATGTACTGTCATCTAATAATAAATCAACAATTTGTCATATCATTTAAATAATTTTAAAATATAAAGGTGATTTATCGTGTAAAATTGTTTTATACTGTCTTCTATTTTCTCTTACAAATTTTATATTAACAATTTTAATGAAATTAAAAATTATATTGGATAATCTAAAAAATTATATTGTTTTAATTTTTTTCCAAAATTATTCGAAAATAACTTTGTTTTATTTCAATTTTATTTTAGGATTGACTAAAACTCTTTGCCCTTTGCGGAGATTTCAAAGTATAATTTTTTTATGGTAACAAAAAATCAAATTTAATAATAATAGTAGATATTAAAAGCATATTTAATTATAAATTTTAAAAATGAATGTCATCTCGTTTTATTTTATTTCACTTTATTCCATAGTATATTTTTAATGTAATAATGTTACAATATATTTTTGCCCCCACTAATCAAATTTTTTAGATCCATCTCTGGGTGTCCTAAGCGTGTATGCCATAGTACATACTTGTTACTGCATATGGATGAGGGGATATTAACATGCTGATATGATGGAGAAATATTATGAGTAGCAACATTAACATTTGGAGAAAATTGATAAACTGAACCAATTTTATTCATAGATGAATCATCACTACATAAAGAGATACAACTGTACTTAGCAATCGAATTCAGTACATGATTACTAGAGTTGCTAAGATTACAATTGTCAGAAGACAAAGATACACATGTATTAAGACTAGGAAAAGACTTGGACAGTTGTGAAGTCGGATTGGGAAATTTGTATAGGCCATCAGCTCCAACAAAACCACAAAGAAGAATTTCAGACGAAGCCTGTGATTTGACCAGATAAAATTGAGGGTGAAACTCAAAGAAAACATGATTATCCAGAGCGAATTTACTAACACTAATAAGGTTTTATTGTGATGTGAGGCACAAGCAGTAAATTGTGTAGGGTGAGAAACATGTTAGGATAATTTGGCAACGGAAATTGCATAGAGCCTACAGAGTTGATAGACAAACCTTGGCCGTTTCCCATAAACACTTGCTCAGATACAAACAATGTAATAGAGTCAGACAAATTCGAAGCATCTGGTGTAACATGGTGAGACGCACCTGAATCCGGATACCACCATTGATTGTTGAAATTAGGATCTGAACCGGTGAGGAAAGCTTGAGGTAGAGGAGATCAAGGAGGAGCTGGTCTTGGAGAGCATATCCAAAGGAGGGTTGATACATAGGACGTGCAGTTATCATGAAAGAATTGAAGGAAGCTCTCTGAGGAGAGAACATAACACCATTAGAATTCGAATATATGTGGTAACAAATAGATGCATCATGTCCAGATTTGTTGTGACAAAACAAATCTGGCATTGAATTTTGCCAAAACGACCTCCTCCACAGCCATATCGGCCACCGCCACGGCCAAAACGACCACCTCTTGAGTTGTAGCCATATTCTCAGTGTTAGCAGTAACATGACTAGTACAGAGAGGAAACGACTCCATACCAGTGGCGGACTGTTCAGTGGTGACCGGCGATGATGACAACGGAGCTTGCGTCAAATTCACCGACACCGGCTCCGTGAGAACAGCTTTCCGATGCTTCTCAAGTCGTGATTCATGCGCAAGGAGACACGATTCAAGGTCATCAAGAGAACCTAGATCCTCTTTACCGTTCACAGTGGCAACAATCGGATCGTATTCCTCAGGAAGTGCATCAAGCACAATTTCAATTAGGTTATGAAGAGGAATGGGATCTCCAACAGGAATCAGTGATTCAATGATTTCGTGAACACGAACCATAAATTCCTCAATCTTAAGCGATCCTTTCGTGAGACGACGCAATTCTGATCGGAGTTGGCGCGCTTTGGTGGCAAGTAAGGTGGTGAAGTAACGATGAACTTCAGTCCAAACCTGCCACGAATGCTTGCAATCAACTAGCTTCGGAAGAAGCGAATCAGAAATGGTGGATAGAAGCCATGTACAGATAAGTGCATCTTGTTGCTCCCAATCAAGATACGCGGAGTTAGCACCGTTGAGTGCAGAATCGGAACCAGTCAGAAACCGTTGAGGAATCGCCGGTATGGCGACAAATTGCCGAAGCTTGTGACTGCGAATTACACCAATTTGTTGCTTCCAGTGCTTGAAGTTCTTGTCATCAAGCTTAACCGAGATGAGGTGTGAAAGCTTGACATGCAAAGACGGAAACACACCTTCATTGCGAAACGGTGAATCCATGGAAGCGATCTACTAGACTGAAAAAGAAGCTCTAGATACCATGATAGAAAAGCATAATACAGTTAGGGATTTCTGTTAGGAAACTCTTATTGTATTTCATGATAGAAAGAGATACAAGGGACTCTCATTATATAGAGAGAGAGCTGTAACTGAATGCTGTAACTAACTGTTACAGCTCAGCACTATACAATCATGCTAAATGCTAACTAATACATTATCTCTATCAGTCATCTACTCAGTACTACTAACTTCCCGATCTTCTTTTCTAATTTTGAATTACATCTATATAGGTATCAAGTATTTTTCTGTTATTGAAATTGATATAATCCTTTGATTTCTTTGTATTGTTATTATGAGGATCTAATGGAGAATCTCAAATGATTGCTATCATTGGTTAGGTTCTAATTGCTCGATTCATCAAATAGCTTTGCTGAGCTGAAAATAAGCAGGAAGAAAATAAGGACACATGGGAAAATTACTTACAATTGGCTGTCACATCAAAATTAGAGTTTAAAAAGGAGTTTAATTCATTTTCATTCTACCCTTCCTATCTGAGTTTGAAAGCAAGAAATGAGAAAGTTGTGATTTTGCTTCCATTTCCACTCTTTAGTCTCTATAGAGCAACAACGAATGAAAAGAAAAGATTTTCTATCCTAATCAGTTATCACTCCTTATTTTTCACTTTACCTACCAAGCATACTAATGGAAACAGCCAAACAAACAACATAGGAAACAATGTTACAGTAGGAGTATCTTCTTGATTGAAGGCAGTTATGTTTAGAAAATAGTAAGTGGCAGAATTAAGTAACGGCAGTTATTAGGAAGTTTGATATCAGTTATTAGACAGGTATTCTTTGAAGAAACATTTGTGTTAAGAGTTTCACATTAGACAATATATGGCCTGAACGTGTGTTTATAAGCGAGGACATTCGTCACCTTACAAGCTGGTTTCGTAGGATTGAGTTAGGCCCAACCACAGTTCTTAAGATGGTATTAGAGCATGTCCAGTCCTAGGCATGAGTCGGTGTGTTAAGAGTTCCACATCAGACAATATATGACCTGAACACGTGTTGTTTTCTAATTAAGAGTCTCACAAATCTTAAATGACATTCATTTTTGAAACTAAGGGAGTATTGTTCTATATTCTGTAATTTAGTGGGATAATCCTTTTTATCTTCTGTTCCGACTAGTGTTCTATCATTATTTAATCATATTAAATTGATGTTTTATTACATAGCGCTTACCCTTAAAGAGAGAAAAAGCTTGTAACTTTACTGTGAAATATTTCTGTGCATGCACAGTTTGCTTTCCAAAGGTTTAGCTGGAATCCAAGCTGTTGACCTTCCCGGGATTGAGAATGTAAGCTCTTTTCCATCAATGCTTTGTATAATTTCTTTACTAAGTAATAATGATGTATTGCTTGAAGGTGACATCTCCTTTGTTGATTTGCAGGTTGATGTGACCCACATTATAGAAGGCCACTCTTCCTATCTGGGGATGACACCGAAAGTTCTGGAGCAGCTTGAATTGGATAATTATTTTCCTGTTTACAAAGGTGAACATGAAAACCCCCAGGAAGAGAAGAGTACCATGAACTAGCTTTATATTCCATCCCTTTTTTTCCTCATTGCTCCACTCTAACCTCTTTATTTTAGTTTTTTCTGAGAATTACTATTATGCTATAGGTAAAGTAAATAAGAAGGAAGAAGCAATCTGACATGGAAATCTGGAAAATATTTTATGTACAGGTTATTAGGCATAATTGTAAATTCACCAGTCAAGAAGTGTCTCTGCATGTAAATGGCAGTCAGATAGAGCGGCTTCAGTGATTGTTCTTATGGTACAATGATAGAACTAAAACGTCTCCCTGGAATTTACAAAAAAGTCCCTCAAAAAAATCTTGACATCATTCTGTTTGACCATATTTATAAGTGTGCTCGAAGTTTAACGGGCGAGAGGCTAAATATCTTCAGCATTCTTATTGAGATGGAAAATGTTCATATTGTTGTTCTTTTTTGAAGTTTATATCAACCAACATTTCTCTGTGATGGAGTTTGTAGCATTTCTTTATTTGTTGACTGTGCTCCCACAATGTGATTAGTACGATTCTTTATTTGTATAAATTGGCAAAAGTTGATGATATTTGATATTAGGACTGACGTATGATACCAGATTAGTTTTACGAGGAATACAAAGGTGCTTCTTTTTGTGATCTATTTATCATTTTAGGCATCATGGCTGTTTTAGTTTGATATTGGATTTCACGTGGTTGGTGGGAGGCATGTGGATTGTATAAGTGATTGGACCTATTTAGTTTGGATGGTAGGTACTTATCTTTACCATGCGTCTCCACTAATCAAGTAGGGTTTGAAGGATAGATTCTATGGAATCGTAGTCTTAAAGATAAAGTAGTAATTGTAATTTATACGATACGAGTTAGGGTAGGTATTAGGACGTCTAAGGTGATACTACCAACCAGTGCACTGATGATACTTGATATAGTATGCCTGCAAGGGTCCGTAAGCGGCAATGATGATGTATGTTGATGATGTCTAAAGGATATCATTACATCGGTCTTTGAGTGACCACATAAGTAAAATTTGACATTATATTTTAACTAAAATTTTAAGATATTAAGTTAACGAGTCTATTCATTTAACTGGACAAAATTATTGATATTGCAATATGTGTGAAGGATGGAAAAGTAGACTTTGAATAAAATATAAATGAGAAAACTCAAGCAAACAGAATATATTATATTTCTCAAAGCCAGTATTATAAGTGGGGAGAGGTTGGGGACAATACATATATCTCAAGTGGCTGGAGGGTATAAAGTGAGGACTAAAGATACCTTAACTAAACATCAAACATAACTGTTAAAATTTTCTTATGGATCTCTGAATTAGGTGGGGACTGAATATAATATTCATATTTGATGTTTATATATAAAGGTTAATTTGTAGGAGACATCATGCGTAACATAACATTTCGTTTTCGCCATTAGTGAAGGTTGGTGGTAAAAGATGGAGATCTTCAGAAGTTATGGGGTAGTCGTGTATGTAGTATTCCTTTTAATGACAGTTGTTGGGCTCAAAGGTAACCAAGAACAAACAAATGTCAATGCTTCTAATAAAGGCAATGCAACTTTTGTAACCCTCCCTAACTCTAGTAAAGGCATAAACGAAGAAGGGAGAAAACAATACAATAGCTCCAATAAGGTTGTCAAAGGTAGTTTGTTGTATAGTAGAGGTGGTGGTGGTGGGGGAGGAGGAGGAAGTGGGGGAGGTGAATGGGGTGGCGGAGGGGGAGGGGGAGGGGGAGGGGGAGGAGGAGGAGGTGGGTGGGGATGGGGTTGGGGAGGAGGGGGTGGTGGTTGGTGGAGATGGGGGTGTGAAAGCAAACCAAGACATGGTAAAAGGAGCATATCCCATAATAATAAGGTGGAAGATTATATTGTGGGAGAGTATGCAGAATGCATGAAAAAAACAAGATGCAAAGGAATGAGATTAGAATGTCCTCTTCATTGTGGTGGACCATGTTATTATGATTGTCACCATATGTGTAAGGCTCATTGTCGTTGATCCTGAAACAAAATGCATGTCCAATTTCTATTCATCTCCTCTTTTTGCTTCGGTAGATCTTTCTATTTTTGTTTTCTTGTACCCTAAGTTTTTTGTTGCGTTGACAATGTTTTCTTAGAATACATGTGCGACTTACCAAACCTTTATTTTTTCAGTGTTGGTTATGTTTCTTTTATTCATCAATATTAGAGATTGTACTAGTAGTTTCCTCTGGGTAAGAGGAACTTTTATAGTTGGTAGGTGACTGTTTCATTCAACTATTTAAACTTAACCTACTAGAAATTATTCATTGCTCTTTGTATCTTCTCGGATATCATTTAATGATTTAATACTTATTTTATGTTATCTTTGGATCGATGAAGTGCGATAAAAGTCATGTTATATAGTTTGAATTGCTAAAAGAAATACATTTCATTCAATTTCATTATTTATTTTCATTTTATTTTATTTTATGTTATATCCTTTGAATTTGCAAAAGAAATACATTTCATTTAATTTCATTATTTATTTTTGTTTTTTTTTATAATTTAGACGGAATAGTATTTTTGTTATATTCCATCTTAAAATTTTAAATAATAAAATAGAATATTCATTCCATTCTACTCAATTCTATCCGATTCATTCATTTTAAAATATCTAAATATAACTTTAATAAATAATAAACAATTAAAACTACTTAATAAATAATTGTACTTGATCAGAAGAGATCGTCACCCACAAGTTTTAAAGCAGCGATTGAATGTGAAGTGGAGGGTACTTGTAAGACACTCTGATGTCAAAATAAAGTTAGAGTAAGTGCAAATAGAGTGTGAAAGTATGGATAAATGAATGAATACATGACCCTCTCAAGTGAGAAGGTATTTATAGCCTCCACCGCTAGACCAATGTCCCCATATTGGACTGACAGAGCAGACCCAAAATGAAGACCGTCAGGATCTACGTGAGTAGTGTAGACCAACACGTGGTCTCCTTCCTGAGTGGACTGCTCTGAATTACTAGGAGGACGTGGTTCAGTATTTCTGGGGTCAAGATGACTCCAGGATATTTAGAGACATGGGCGCCTGCCCTATGAAGAGGGTGTCCATTAAGACCTCCTGGAAATCGTTAATGCTCCTCGACAGCTCTATAGCGAGGAAGGTCCAGGAACATGTCTTCGATGTAGCAGTGGAGTCTCTGCCCGACATAATCAAGAACAACCTCATTCGTGCGACCTTCGTCTGCAGCATGGTTGAATCGGCTTTTGTATGCTGTTTGGACTAAGCGCGGACCCAGTCCAAAATAATAACAAAATAAATATTTAAGATTAATGTTTAGATCAATGTACTCAATAAAATTAAATGAAATTGAATATTTTTTTTATAAAATCATATATTATTGCATATGAGTGGAATAAAAAAAATGGATGCTTTCAAATGAAATAAATTTTATTATATTCCATTCTACTATATTTTTTATATTTACAACAAAATTGAAAATATAATTCAATTATTTACCATTTCATTCCGTTCTATTCTATATAATATCACAAATCTAAACTTAAGAATAAAGTGTAATGAAATATGATTTGAAGTGCAAGTAATGAAATAAGTTTTTTTCAATAAAATACTCAAACAATTAAATAAAATCTTAATTTCATTTTGCTCCATTCCATTAAGTTAGTAAGTTAGATTCTATTCTATTTCATTCTGGTCTATCAATCTAAACACAATTTAAAAGATATTGATATTTTCCAACAACCTTTATGTTATCATCTTATATTTTCTTTAAGATTGAGAATGATGGATCTTTAACATCCATGGTCTCTTGTCTTGGTGGGTTGAACAGGGAACTCTTATTCTAAAGTCAGTCCGCATAATACAGTAAATTAAATAGAAAACAAATGCTACTTTAATTAAGACACGTTATGCTCATTATATCATTAGGAGTTGTTTACAATACCCCCACGTGCTACTCTTAAGCCCTATGAAAATCCGAAATTAACTTTTTTGTATTGTCTGAAAATTGAAATCCGAATGCATCTTAGGACAACAAATCTCTTCATAAAAAAACGAATCTCATTGAAGTAAAAAATATATTTGAATTTTAATTTCCAGATACACCTTGGATTTTATAGTTTCTACACTGAAGAGTCTGCACTCCTTTGTCAAAATGTTAATTTTAGATTGTTTAATATCATAAGTTTTCTTATGGAGAACCTGAATTGCGTCCCACATTATTTTATCTGTTTTACGATATGAAATTGAAAAATATACATTCAAGACATTATTTGCATTTGAATGAGAATAATTATATTATTCTATGTAGATATAGATGATCTATTGGTCACATGTAAGGCTGATTCAAATAATTTAAAGGCTCTGTGTCAAATTTAAAATTTAGACTTCTAATAAATAAAAATAAATATTTTTTTAAAAAAAATTATCTTATAAATAAAGATGTATGCGAAGAAATATAAATATATTGTGTTTACGTTGGATTAAAGTCCTCACATTTCAACACCAAATAAATTAACTTGACATAATAATGTAAAAGTCAATTAATTCGATAATTGAATAAAACATGGCAAACATAATTAAAAGTGCGAAAGTAGAAGAAGTAGATGAAGAACGCAAATTAAATAAAACAATGAATGTAAATAACGAAATATAATAAAAACCTGCTCCGAAGAGACTTTTGTCTGGTACAAAGGAAACTTCAAACAAAAATTGATAATCTTCAAAGCAATAAAGTGCAGAAATAAAACTTATACAGTGTTGCTCCAAACTAAGTACAAACTCAATCGAATTATGCAATAACCCTTTAGTGTGAAGAGTTAAAGCTCACAAGATGGTCAATATATGGCTTAGTGTTGCACTAAGCTTGGATGGAACAAACGGAACAACTAGGGGCCTATTTATAGGAAAACAAAAAAAACCTAATTCCCATAACCTCCAGGAAACGTGAGCAAAATATTTGGAGGGATTTTTGACACTTGAGGAGCAAGCCATACATGCTTGTAACCGTTTGGGATTTTTAACCCGTGGCGACCGCCACAGGTCATGGCGATCTCCATGCTTCCAAAATGGCCAAGACTTAGTCTGTTGACCTAGAGCACGTGGACCACCCATAACCACCTATATGTGAACGCCATGGGGATCGCCATCAGTGTAGAAAAGCTCATTTTCTCCGCTTTTCA